AATACCTGTAGCGAGGTAGGTGCTTACACTAGCTATAGTGAGCTGGTATTTGTAATACCTGTAGCGAGGTAGGTGCTTACACAAGCTGTAGTGAGCTGGTATTTGTAATACCTGTAGGGAGGTAGGTGCTTACACCAGCTGTAGTGAGTTGGTATTTGTAATACCTGTAGCGAGGTAGGTGCTTACACTAGTTGTAGTGAGCTGGTATTTGTAATACATGTAGCGAGGTAGGTGCTTACACCAGCTGTAGTGAGTTGGTATTTGTAATACCTGTAGCGAGGTAGGTGTTTACACTAGCTGTAGTGAGCTGGAATTTGTAATACCTGTAGCGAGGTAGGTGCTTACACTAGCTGTAGTGAGCTGGTATTTGTAATACCTGTAGCGAGGTAGGTGCTTACACTGGCTGTAGTGAGCTGGTATTTGTAATACCTGTAGCGAGGTAGGTGTTTATACTAGCTGTAGTGAGCTGGTATTTGTAATACTTGTAACGAGGTAGGTGCTTACACTAGCTGTAGTGAGCTGGTATTTGTAATACCTGTAGCGAGGTAGGTGCTTACACTAGCTGTAGTGAGCCTGTATTTGTAATACCTGTAGCGAGGTAGGTGCTTACACGAGCTGTAGTGAGCTGGTATTTGTAATACCTGTAGCGAGGTAGGTGCTTACACGAGCTGTAGTGAGTTGGTATTTGTAATACCTGTAGCGAGGTAGGTGCTTACACTAGCTGTAGTGAGCTGGTATTTGTAATACCTGTAGCGAGGTAGGTGCTTACACGAGCTGTAGTGAGCTGGTATTTGTAATACCTGTAGCGAGGTAGGTGCTTACACGAGCTGTAGTGAGCTGGTATTTGTAATACCTGTAGCGAGGTAGGTGCTTACACGAGCTGTACTGAGCTGGTATTTGTAATACCTGTAGCGAGGTAGGTACTTACACTAGCTGTAGTGAGCTGGTATTTGTAATACCTGTAGCGAGGTAGGTGCTTACACGAGCTGTAGTGAGCTGGTATTTGTAATACCTGTAGCGAGGTAGGTGCTTACACGAGCTGTAGTGAGCTGGTATTTGTAATACCTGTAGCGAGGTAGGTGCTTACACGAGCTGTAGTGAGTTGGTATTTGTAATACCTGTAGCGAGGTAGGTGCTTACACTAGCTGTAGTGAGCTGGTATTTGTAATACCTGTAGCGAGGTAGGTGCTTACACGAGCTGTAGTGAGCTGGTATTTGTAATACCTGTAGCGAGGTAGGTGCTTACACGAGCTGTAGTGAGCTGGTATTTGTAATACCTGTAGCGAGGTAGGTGCTTACACGAGCTGTAGTGAGCTGGTATTTGTAATACCTGTAGCGAGGTAGGTACTTACACTAGCTGTAGTGAGCTGGTATTTGTAATACCTGTAGCGAGGTAGGTGCTTACACGAGCTGTAGTGAGCTGGTATTTGTAATACCTGTAGCGAGGTAGGTGCTTACACGAGCTGTAGTGAGCTGGTATTTGTAATACCTGTAGCGAGGTAGGTGCTTACACGAGCTGTAGTGAGCTGGTATTTGTAATACCTGTAGCGAGGTAGGTGCTTACACTAGCTGTAGTGAGCTGGTATTTGTAATACCTGTAGCGAGGTAGGTGTTTACACGAGCTGTAGTGAGCTGGTATTTGTAATACCTGTAGCGAGGTAGGTGCTTACACAAGCTGTAGTGAGCTGGTATTTGTAATACCTGTAGCGAGGTAGGTACTTACACTAGCTGTAGTGAGCTGGTATTTGCAATACCTGTAGCGATGTAGGTGCTTACACTAGCTGTAGTGAGCTGGTATTGGCAATGACGGTGGCCCAAAAATGTGATCCGGTGCTTTGGAGGAAAGCGTTGGTGGATCACAGAGTGATTTGTAAACCCCGCGCTGGCCTTGCGAGGTGGAACTACAAGAGATGGAAGTGTAGCAAGAGGGTTCGTGATCCCGTCTGTGCGGAACTCTTTGGTGTGATCTCTCTGTGTGATTGGTGGGTTCTGTCCGGGCACTCTGCTCTCCGACCGCACACCATCAGATACTCGTGATACTGGCGTCGTGTGGCAGGAGACAATTCGTGATTGGTATATAATCAGCCTGGAGAGCTGAATGGAGTTCACAAGAACTCACAAACATACAGCTCGTGCAAGACCCAACTCAGAAAATCCCTGGGTTTGATCTTCCACGAAGCTCGTGGTCCACCCTAAATCGCATCCGCACAAGCCATGGCAGATGCGGATACCTGATGCACAAATCGATAAATCTCCAGTGCGCGACTGTGATCATCCAGAACAAAACGTACAATATACAACGTCGTAATGTCCCGATCCACAAATACCAAGCAGACATCACAGCGATACACTCCGCTGCCCGTGGCACGGTTATCTGGCTTGAGCACCTTCATGTCAAATTGCAGTTGTTGCTCTGAATGTACGTCAGCCGTGCGTAAGAAGTGCGTACGGTGCAATCTGCTGCAGAGCTCAGAAACGCAGTCATTAACGCGGAATGTGGAAGTATAAAGCTTAGAAATGCACAAAGACACGTGGAGAGACGCGCTTGGAATGCCACTGAGAGACGCGGCAGAAGAACACGTGTATCGGAGAACATACACGGGATAGCGACATCACTTTGGATGCAGTGGCTTAACTACATTATCAGCTGGGGCGGGGGGGGGGGCAATCGGTGTTATGGGGACCCAAATTTGTATTTGTCTCTCATGGTGGTTGTGAAGGGGGCCCAATTCGTAGCTTTGGCCATCAGGGGGGCAAGGCACCCCCTGCCCCCCACGCTCGTTACGCTCCTGGTTGGTTGTCAAGAAAAGTCAGCGTGGCTCGGGCAGGACGCGTCACGGCGAGACGGGACGATTGCCGATGGTCAAGATGAATATCGGAGTGGCAGCCAAGGAAAGTAACGCGTGGGAGAGGGCGTCCGGCGTGGAGACGGAGCGTGTCCAGGTGCTATGTGGATTATTGATTCATATCGCAGAAGCGTGAGATATGCCGGCAGCGGCGGCTTTTGTTGGCTTTCGTCCAAGCAGTTGATTGATCGCGGCTCATGGTCTTGTTCTGTAGACGCTGAGCATCAACTAGGCCTCGGCAAGGTAAAAGTTAAAAGGTAACAAGTATAACCCGTAAAAACAAAGTTTTTCACTATAAATCCTTTATATGCGTGGCGGCGAGAGTCCTCTCGTCCTCTGGCTTGAGATGGCTGCCACCTATGGGTCAGATGATTGTATGGCACCATTAAGCAATTGGTAATTAAATATAATATTTTTGTCCTAAAAAGTGTAACATTTTGGAAATATTTTTTCACGAACATTAATTGTCACGCACAACGAGTCTGTGTGGAAAATGTCAGCTCGATTGGATCACGGGAAGTGGGTTAAAAAACGACCGAAAGATTTGCACGGTCGTAAGCAAGCACGCAAGCACGCAAGCACGTGAACTTAATATAAAGGATTAAAAAAATAACGAGCCTACCTTTACCCTACCTTTTACCTTACCACAATACAATCACTCTACCCTTACCTTTTGCCCTTTAGCAGGTAAGGTTAAAGGTAATAAGTATAACCCGTAAAAACAAAGTTTTTCACTATAAATCCTTTATATGCGTGGTAGCGAACTTAATATAAAGGATTTAAAAATATATTCGCCTGTGGAGGACGCGGGTATCGATCCCGCGACCTTTGGCATGGGAAGCGAGGGCGCTACCAACTGCGCTACTCCGCCACGGCCTGTGGAGGGGTTACGCTCTGGGCTCTTATACTGTGACGTTCAGCCAAAGCCAAGAATGAGTTCTTTTGAATATATGTAAAATAATTTTTTTTGCCTAAAAAGTGTAAAATTTTGGGAATTTTTTTCACGAACATTAATTGTCTGGCACAACGAGTCTGTGTGGAAAATGTCAGCTCGATTGGATCACGGGAAGTGGGTTAAAAAACGACCGAAAGATTTGCACGGTCGTAAGCAAGCAAGCAAGCACGCAAGCGAACTTAATATAAAGGATTTAAAAAGCAACGAGCCTACCTTTACCCTACCTTTTACCCTTACCCCATACAAATTACCCGATTACAGGGTAAATTACCTTACCCTGCCAAGGCCTAGCATCAACTACGATTTCGCATTCAGGTCAGGAGTAGCGCCGAGTGGTTTCGCCGTGATCTGTGGATAGGGGGCGTTGCGTCGTTATACGTTGTGCGGTCTCTGCTCTGGATGACCACAGTCGCGCACTGCTGGGACGCTTTTAACATTTTTCCATTAGCGCATCAGGTGATCCGCATCTGTTGCCACGGCGTGTGCAGTGGATGGGATTTAGGTGCGGGCTACGGCTCTCACGATGGTGACATTTAACACGTTCCTTCGGAGTGGGCAGGTAGGAACTTGGTTGGACAGCGCATTCGTGCACGACAGACAGACAAATAATCCCTGGTGGGCAGTGTGGAACCTGTTGTTCCTACCTGTATGTATAAAAGATAACTTGACTTTAGGTAGCCAGGCAGACAGCCCCCTTAACTATCGCCCCCCCCCCTCCTTTAGGCCCCTCCCCCCTTAGGCCCCTCCCCTGACCCCCTTTCCCTTAGGCCCCTCCCCTGACCACCCGCCCCCCCCTATTCTCAGGCCCCTCCCCTGACCCCCCTTCCCTTAGGCCCCTCCCCTAACCCCCCTTCTGTTAGGCCCCTCCCCTGACCCCCCTTCCCTTAGGCCCCTCCCCTAACCCCCCTTCTGTTAGGCCCCTCCCCTGACCCTCCTCCCTTAGGCACCTCCCCTCTCCGTACCCGGCAGTAGATCTCCACCAATCAAAGAGCTGTTTGTAAGGTCTCCACCAATCAAAGAGCTGTGTGCATTATATATTTATTTATGTACGACAGACATACAGTCAGACAGACAGACAGCTAAATAATCCCTGGTGGGCAGTGTGGAACATTGTTCCTCCCTGTAAAGCCACAGTTCCCCCCCCACCCCCCCAGGTGTCGGTCGTGGGCTCGAGGCCGCGTTCCCGACTCCAGCCACGAGGAGGCGCAGCGACTCCACCGAGCGGCGCTCCACAGGTGAGACAGGTGAGGGGGGCCAGAGGCGTGGGGGGCCGAGGGGAGAGGGTGGGGGCCCAAAGGGGAGGGGTGAGCGTCCGATGTGTGGGGGGAGGGGATCCGCAGCGCTAATTGCTTGCACGTGCCGACGTGACGCGTTTCCGGTGGAGAGACGACGGAAAGAGGAATCGAATCCCCCCCCCAACTCCACGTGCTCTGCGCGCTGCAACTTTCTCAGTCTCACGGATTTCTCACGCCGGGACGGCGGCAACAACGTCAGCCGCGACGTCATCTTACGGCAGCGTCTCACGCACAGCGGTCCGGCTCTCTCTCTCTCGGTCGAGAGGGCTTCGTGCAGCAAAATCCAAAATTGTCCAACTTAGATTTCGATTTAAAGCTTTCGTGACTGCAGGGATTCATCTTCTTGGTTCTTTCAGGTAAAGTCACGTAGAAATAATTTAATAAAATAATAAAAATAAAACATAAAATAATTCTCACGACGTTTCGGCCACAACGCAAGTAGCCGTCTTCAGGTGAAGAACAGCTCTGTCAAGGAGACAGAATCATTCAGAAACGTAGTGAGAATTATTTATATGTTTTATTTTTATTATTTTATTAAATTCTTTCTACGTGACTTTACCGAAAGAACCAAGAAGATGTCCAACTTAGATTTGAAGTTTTCGTGACTGCAGGGATCCATACTCTTTGTCCAACTTCGCAAAATCCCCGCACCGACCGTTGTGGTTGGAAACGTGGTCAAATAACCATCGCGGTCCGCACTGAGCTTGGGGGTTGGGGGAGGTAGAGGCCCCGTCTAATCCAGCAGTGGATTGGAGACCCGGGACTTACCGTGCGTCACGAGGTGGCCACGTGTTGAGTCGGTGGCATCTTAACAGCCACGCTCACAGCAGTTACAGAGGTGGTCCTTCTGCAACCAAAACACTTTAAATAAAGGCTGCTTTACAACCAAGGCCCCCTTTGTACGTAATTATCATACTGTGCAATTAATGCACACTGTACTGCTAATAGGCTATACCATACGTTGTTTTAATACTCATTTAGTAATCGTGAATGACCAGGCTTAAATAGGTAACGTCTTGAGGTTGGAATTCCACAGTGGGAGCCAGGTAATAAAAGGATCGGGCCCACATGTACTAAAAACGGCCATTTGCCCGAAACGTCGGCAATTATATCCTTTAAATACCACTGTTATTGACACGGAATGTGTTAAGTGCTTTCGTTATTTGTACAAAGACATAGTCTGAACAGACTTGGGGCAAGTGCTGTCAGGCACCTATGAAGGCCGGCACGGCACACAAGGGGGTGGATGCCCAACACCAAGCCCGGCCGACTTTGTCTCCCCAGTGGAAATGTTTATAAACTAATTTGAGGCTGAGTCGACCTAGGGGGAGGCCCAGGACCGGTTCAGATAAATCATCACCGATCTTGGCCGTGAGCGGTGGAATCGAACTCGGGTTCGCCGGGTTCGTAGCGCAGTTACCGCTCCCCATATTTCTGTATCAGTGTCCCACTGTGACAGCAGCAGCAGCAGCAGTATCATCAAGCAAATATAAATTCCACAGATTTTGCCGTTGTATGTAATTGTGGCTCTTGTAAGTTGTCACTCGTGGAGGTTGGTCGCTTGTGGCTTGTCCTCGTTAATGTCCCTTGTGAAACGTCTGTTGGCTCTCACTGGGATGTGTTTAATTGAATTGAAATAAATTATATTTTCCACGCTTCTTTAACCGGTCAATGTGTAGTGACATAGCGCTGGCTGTTGGACAGCAGCTGCAACTGCAGGTGGGCACTTAGCGCACACGCCGCTGAGCATATACGCGGGTGTGCCGGCAGGACGGAGGAACTGGGGCAAGGGTCATCATAGACCTCGTGTGGAAGCCCCAGGAACCCTCTGGAGGGTTCGAGAAGGGAGGCGCGGCTAGGGCAGAGCCAAGCCGCGCCGAGGGGAATATAAGCAGCGGAGAGCGCGAGCTCTTGGCTGCTGGTTCTGGGATTGGACTCGTCGTCGCTGTCGTCGTCGTCGCTCTCGTCGCTGCCGCCTTCGCCCGATCATTGCGCGGCTGGACAGTAGTTGGCTGTCCCGGTCGACGCTGTCAGTGCAACGCGGACAGGATCGTGCCTGGGACGGGGTGTGCGGCAGCGGGGTCGTGTGCGAGAGAGAGAGAGGGGGGTCCCGAGTGGTGGCGTGAGCTCGGCAACAACAGCAACGAATATAGAGGGCAGAGCGGTGCCTCCTGCGACCACCTCGTCTCCGGCTGACTGTGTGCCGATGCACGCCACCCGCACGCACAGACGACACGACAAATGCATAAAACCAACAATTCCTAAATATGTTCACTTCTACGTGTAAGTGATACAGGCAATTACAATGCTGTCCACCATGTGAATACACCGCCTCATTGCCATCTGCAAGCCGCCAAGCAATTGATATCGAACAAATATCGGAAGAGTGTGCAACGGTTGAATGAGCGGAGAAGGCGAAAAGAGAGTCGGGATTGCACGCCAGTCTCATTGTGTGAAAAAAGCTTCATAGCTCATCGGATTCCTTCAATATAAATACATATTCTGATTCTGTTTATTGTGGCAAACAAACGACAACTGCGGACTACGCGGCCACGGTCGCAAGGAAACCCCGACACAGCCCCGCCGAAGCTTTGTGGGTGTGTAGGTCATCATCATCAGCAGCAGCCATGGTCTATCCACTGCTGGACGAATGAGTTCCCACGTCGTCACCATCTTGCACAGTCTCACGATGCCGCCACCACAGCGACCCATCTCGTTCGCCCTGCGCTCGGCGTGATTTCGTCGCTCGTTTTGGGTGACATCCCGTCGCCAGTCTCGCCGTCCGTCGGACACGATCCCTCCTCCTCCTCGCCCATGACGTGGCCTGGCCCCAAACCTCACTCACCCATCTCAACGGTCATTGCGATGTTGTGTCCGTCTTGCTTATGTTCAGTAATCCGTGCGCTCTTCTTCCTCTTTCCGTCTCTCGGTGTAGTTCCCGGCATGCGTCTCTCCTTCGCTTCCTTGCGCACTTTTCAGTTTTGGTTCCACTTTTTTGTTGTTGTCGCCAATTTCCATGTTTCTCATCCGTGTGTCACGGCTCGCGTCACGTGCACTGATTGGAAACGTTACTCTGGGCAGATTCGTATGTCTCCTTTCACGATCAAATCTCACAAGGCCTCCCTCCTACACTCGCATGCCTCTTTACGTACGGCGCATGCAAATGTGCATGTTTGTCTTTTTACGAATAGAGGCAGACCTCGCCGAATGCGGGGGTTACGTTCCTGTAAAATGCCGTGTTTGGCAAATCCGCCTTCGATAAGTAATTGATCCTATGGGGAAAATAGGGTTGCGTTCCTGGGTCCAAAATGATCACCCCCTCCCTCTTTGTTTAACTTAATTCTATAAGATTTCCATCTTTGCTATTGTACTAAATTATACTAAGTCGCTCTCCATTTCTTGTGTGTGTGTGTACACTCATTATTTTCAATTTCACCTCAACACAAATCCCCCGTCTCCGTGACTCCTTCCCGCACCGCGGCGCGCACGCACAACGCTCGCACCTGGCACTGAATTCCCAGCCCGACACTCGCCCCGAACGCTGTCACTTGAACGTCAAGGATTCACCATGTGAGGGTCCGTTGCGCATGGTGAGTGTGTTACATTATCACACGAAACATAAACTAAAAAACCACGACCCAGAAATGTACGTGGTAAATAAATCGTTCTCACAGTCGAGATTCATGAACACCTTCGAAAGGATGCAGCCCTCTCACGGCACTACTTGTTTTTTTGACGCGGACAATGAGAATCTTCGAACCGCGTACAGCCGAGACATCACCCCCGTGTTCCGCAAAACAGACTTCGTTAGGTAACCAGTGTAGAACCGAAAACCCGCGTTCGATAAAGCCGCGTTGGGCAAGGTTTTCCTGTAAAATATAAACACTTTGTACAGTCAAGTATATAATTCTAGATTTGAAGCTTTCGTGACTGCAAGGATTCATATTCTTAGGTTTTTTCGGTAAAGTCACGTAGGTAAAAAATTAAAATTAAAATTAGTAAAAGTAAAATAAAATAAAAATCACGACGTTTCGGAGGCAACACCTGAAGACGGAAGCTTGTGTTGCCTCCGAAACGTCGTGATTGTTATTTTATTTTACTTTTATTAATTTTAATTTTTTACCTACCTGACTTTACCGAAAAAAACCTAAGAATAAGTTTATAATTCATGGATTTTTTTTTTAAGTTGGGAAAGGGAAGAGAAGAGAAGACAAGGAAGAGCCAGGACAAGGTGAGCAGGAAAGGGGGAAGCGATGCCGGGACGGAAGTCCCCAAGGCGGACAAAGCAGAGGGCACGGCTGAAGGTGACCAGCAAGGAGGATGGGGGGAAGGAATGACTTGGCAAACATATCGGGGATGATGATGATGATGAGAGGGGATGACGGAGAGGGAGAAGGGAGAATGAAACAGCAAGCAGCATCTGTTTTCACAGCGGGCGTTGAGGAGCGGGGAGGGGTTCAGAGTGGGGGTGGCCACACAGAAGCCACGTGATTTACCTAGGGCTTGAGCTGATTTAGAAGTACTCTATAGAGTTGTAATTAGACCCCTTTGCTTCTTGATAGAGCCGTCCTCCGATACGCCAGAGCGTCTCGAAGGGCTCTGCGAAACAAGGTGATTCAGAACCTGGCCTGCAAACGGACATTAGCCTGCCAATAGGTGACGATGGCTGATGTTGAGTGAATTTGCGGTGAAATTTTCGTAATTGGCAAATTTGGACTCTTGACATCGGGCACAGAACACGGCTTAACTAATGCGAATGACGTCGCGGGATTTCGTTTTCATCACGGCCATGGCTGAGAAGCAGACGGCACGAAGAGTGTCCACTCTGCGGTTAACGCAGCCCGCGGTCGCCATGTTAAATGACCCCAACGCGGGCCCACATCGCGTGGGGTGAGACTGTCATCCAGCAGTGGATTTGCAAACGGGGTTTGCATAGACATGGGCAAATAACGGAGTTTCGTATAATGCCGTCTGCGTGAACGCAGCCGCGTGTCTGGAGCGATAGTGGAGCTGATAGCGCGCTGCGCTACGGACAAGTGTGACCCGGGTTCGATTCCTTGCTCAAGGTCAGCACCAGTGACGATGATCTGAACCGGTCCTGTGTCTCCCCTAGGTCGACTCGGTCTGAAATGAGTATCTGGTGCGGTCAGGCGCGTTGCTGGCCACCTCCTCCCTCGTGTACCGTGCCGGTCTTCATCGGTGCTACTCTAAAACAGCACTTTCCACAACAGCCTGTTAAGGCTATACGGGGAGATGTTTTTTTTGGAAGATTTTGTTCCGTCCTTCCCCCCCCCCCCCTGATCTGCATGGGTTTCCTTCGGCTTCTGCGGTTTCCTTGCACAGCAAAAAAATATATCATACCCAATACACAACGTAACCGGTATCGGACGTAAACATTCCAACTGCTGTAAAATTTACCTGCAAATGACTCAGTTACGATTCCCACGTGGCAACATCGTCCCCTGCTACTGCCAAAACTTTGCAGGGGACCCTCCTGAAAATAAGTTTAAAAAAAAACTTTTTTTAAAACATGCTTTTATGAAATGTACTAGTAATGGAAGAACTCCAGGAAGTGACCCCGAAGCTTGCCATAACGTAAGCGACCGTGGACAATTAGACCCAAGCCGAAACATAACATATAAAAAAGAATGTTTTAAAAAGATATTTATTTTTATGATATAATATAGTATTGTCATCAGTATGACATAAGTATACCAAGTTTGCAGTCGATACCACATTGGGAAGTGGGTTAAAATTGAGTTACAAGATTTGAGGATACAACAACAACGACATCGACAACAACAGACAGTGAGTTAAACAAAAGCGTGTAAAATAACAAGAGTTACGAGACTCCGTGAGGTTCCCCTGGGTAGACGAGCACGGTGAGGTTAAAAGACGCTGGACATGGACAGGGAAGGAAAATATTGAGCCTGGACTTGAACGGGTGCAGGGAGGCGACAGCGTCGACTGCTGGGGGAGGGGGGGGGGTCTCAAACAAGACGCACACGCACGCACGTGTAAACAGCACACACGGACACTGCAATAGTGCAACAACAACATGAGCAGCAGTTCCGTAAGAAATGCATTGTGGTCCTATTGCGGTGGACCGGGTTTCGTCCGAATTAATAAACTATTAAAGAGCTATCCAGCTCGTTTTCAAAAGTTACCTGGCCACAAACGATAGCTCAACGAAGTGGCTTTTGTGGAAATTTATAGTAGCCAAATACTCTTAAACGCATGTTTCTAATTGTGGAGGTTAAACGATTGGAGGACCAGGAGAAAAATCCACGCAACCACGTGGAGAACATTCAAACTCGAAATATACAAGCGACAGAGCTGGGATCGATTTCCACGACCTCCTGTCGACCAGGCGAGGTAGTTAACATCTCGCCACCGTCAGCACATGACTCATGAGCACAGTAGAGTCACCAATTCTCACTGCTGCAAAGTGTGCCTCTGGGAACCGTAGTAGACGTAGAGTTCCCACTTCCAACCACACTTGTCCGTAAGTCATGCGAATGCCAAAACAAATCTTCGCTTGAGATGGGAGTTGCAGACCACGGCGGCAGCGGTTGGAGGATGAGGGGCGATCTCGCGGTGTTTGCTCGTGTCACGGTGTCAGGGGCAGCTGGAAGCAGACGCGTTCAGATTAGGGGCAGTGAGATGTTTACAATGGTCGTGGGGGGGGGAAGTCCTGCGGTAACCCATTGCCGGCAACGGTTTTCCCTGAAGTTTCCCGAGTGAATCGTGGCCTTAACGGTAAATTTAAATTTTGACTTAAAACTTTCGTGACTGCAGGAATTCATATTTCATATTCTTGGTTCTTTCGGCAAAGTCACGTTGATAGAACACAAAAAATTGAAAAACAAGACCGCTTGTGTTGCGATCGAAACGTCGTGGGTTTTTTGCTTTTATTATTTTCAATGTACAGTATTTAAAAAAAATATGTTTTACAATTTTAATTTTTATTGTGGTTTTTTGCTTTTATTATTTTTACATTTCATTAATAGTATTTTAAAGTTTTTATTTTTTATAATTTGTATTATTTTAAATAAATAAAAATATTTTTATTTCTCTATCTACGTGACTTTACCGAAAGAACCAACTTAATGGTCAATTCGTGATGATTGGCATCGTGAGCAGAGCTCCAGTCGCGTGCCACGTGACTTGCCCGGTGCGTTAATTGATGATGACGAGCGGGTTCGCGTGTTCCACGTGGCGATAGCGAGGCCTTGTTTATCTAGTTATGTATTTATTTCCGTCACGTATTTGTCTAGGAGAGCCTCACTGAATTGGAGGACTCTTTTTCAGAAGGGTCCTGCCACTACATTCGATTTTTTTATTTAAATAAAACAATTCGAGCCATTAATACACGTTTTTGTACATGTCTGGGTGGGTGAGGAAACTGGAGCACCCGGAGAAACCCCATGTGCGCGAGGGGGCAACACTCTATCCCCGTACAGATGGAAACAAATGGCAATTAGTCCACATTTTCCTGTGCAGCCTTTTCGCGGTGAGCCCGGGCATGACACCCCCTCGATACCCACGGGAAGGGAGTTTCGCAATATCTGTGTGTGATCCACCAAACCTCGCCGCAGCGTAGCCACCACCACCGCCGCCTGGTGAATAGATGAGTCACGTGGTGACCCACTGACACGTGTCCCCGACGTGAGAGTAATCGTGCGTGAGTGTGTGAATGAGCACGCGTATGGGAGCGTGTTAGTAGCCCACACGTGTGCACACTCATTAACTGGCTGAAAACATTTGAATAAATACAGGACCTCAGAGCTTGGGCAATTGTCGGTACACCGCCTGGCTCAGGGGTCGGCAACCTGCGGCTCTGGAGCCGCATGCGGCTCTTTAAAGGACTGCTTCGTGACCGTTATTTGTCAAGGAAGCGTCTCGTATTTACCTGCATTGCGGCTCGCGAAATATTGAGTGGTTTCATTTTCATTACCGAATTCGAAAATAAATGGCTCTTCTTGTTATTTGGATTTGCCGACCACTCGCCTGTGGCTGCTTGTCTGTGGTTCCTGCTCGCGCCTCTGCGCCGTCCTCTGTCTCTCATCGAGTGCGAGTTGAAATCGTTAAATGCAACAACCAGCGGAGCGCCGGGCGGCTAAAACACAGCAAGTTGGCACAGTAGAGAGGGCACAGGTGGTGGCGTCGGCCAGTCATCTCAGGCTGTCGACCCATGGCACCACCTGGGTCTGCATCGTGACCTCCTGTCAGTTGGCGTTCGACACTTCACGTGGCCTTAACGTGCACATAGCCTGGCACAAGCGTCGTGGTGACGTCACCGCCACTTAGTGGCGAATAGCGGTTGTTGTATATATGTGCGGTAGTTTAGCGGTCAACGCGCTGCGCTATGAATCTGGCGACCTGGGTTCCATTCCCGCTCACGGCCAATACCAGTGACGATTATCTGAACCGGTCCTGAGCTTCCCTTAGGTCGACTCAGCCTCAAATGAGTACCTCGCGCGTTTTGTAAACATCGCCACTGGGGAGACAAGAGCTGTCGGGCGTGGTGTTGGCTACCCACCCTTCGTGGGCTGTGACGGCCTTCATAGATGCTCGCTAACAGCACTTGCCCCTGTTACAGGCTATGCGGGGGATCTTTGTCTTTGTAGATGCTCGTGTATATGAGTGTAAAGTGTGTCTGTGTGTATGTCTACGCGCATATGGGGAGCTGTAGTGCAGCGCTACGAACTCACCGGCGATCCGAGTTTGATTCCCGCTCACGGCCAATACCAGTGACGATTATCTGAACCGGTCCCGAGCCTCCCCTAGGTCGACTCAGCCTCAAATGAGCACCTGGTGCGGTGTGTAAATATCAGAACCTGGAATACAAAGACGGTGTTGGCCACGCCGTACCGGCATAAATAGGTGCACACAACCAACACTTGCCCCAACAGTTTGTTAAAGGCTACATGGGGGATATTTGCCTTTGTGTGTGTGTGTCTACATCGACGTGAAGCCCGGAGCGCAACGCAGAGCGCGCACGGGGAGCGAGCGATGAGGAGGGATGCGGTTTTGGAGGAGCCGGGGTGGAGAGGTGGAGAGGTGGGGGGGGGGAGAAAGGAGGGGGTTGACGCCGCATTGTTTACGGAGGTGGAGGGAGGGAGGGAGGGGACCTGGGAGGATCTGGGAGAGTCTCGCACACTGAGGCCCCGCACCGGAAACCCACAGCTCCCTCCCCCCGCCGCCTGCCCCCTGCCGTAGCGCGCCGCCGGCAAAGGAGCAAAACTCGAGCGAGAAGGAGCGGCGGAGACCGCGGCGTCCCGGCTGCCCCTGGCTCCCCGTGGCTCCCCGTGGCTCCCCCTGACTCCTCCTGGCTCCACCTGGCTCCCCCTGGCTCCACCTGGCTCCCCCCGGCTCCCCCTGGCTCCACCTGGCTCCCCCGGGCTCCCCCTGGCTCCCCGTGGCTCCCCCTGGCTCCACCTGGCTCCCCCTGGCTCCACCTGGCTCCCCCTGGCTCCCCCCCCCCCTGGAGCTGACTGCGCAGGGCGCCCGCTCGCCAGGTACTGCACACTTCCAACACCGACACATCGTCAGGAACATCGCCACCACCTACCTCAATCTTCGTCTCCATCGTCACTACCTCCCACCACTCGTACACCTCCACCGAGACCATCTCCTTCCGTCTCCACCGCTACCATCACCTCCATCATCAACTCCTCCATCACCATCTCAAACCCAATCAATCATCACCACTACCACCTCCATCACCACCATCACCGCCTCCATCACCACCATCACCTCCTTCATCATCACCTCCCACATCACCTATTGCTCGTCTCACGTTCAGGCGATCGGGTTAAGACTCCCGGGCGCAGGACTTGGGGATGTGAAATCCATCCGTGCGGAGTTGTGGAGTCACCTGCGCCCGTTAACGCGGTTTCTCCCGTCGAAGACATTTCACCTTAAAAAAAAACCCTTCCGCCCGAACCGAATTCTTTATCGTAAACTTCCGTCTCTGTTTCTCCGTCAACGTCTTGTGAGCCATTACAGTTGCGGACGAGGCATCACCACTCAGTCTGAGTTTGTGCGGCTGTACGGTTGAACTTTGTTCTCACCGTACGTAGCCAGCCGTGCTAATCGGAGTAAACGCAATAGAGTGAGTCCCAGCCTATTTGATAAACACATGGCAGGTCACCATCATTGGTTCCGGCAAGGCTGACTCTGCTGATAAGACACTACGTGTCGAAACCGTTCCAGAGTTTTGCTTGTATTGAACCAATGCTTCTGATATGATGTACTCCACAGAACGCGCGTGTGGCTGATGTGATGCGTAAAACATATACGTGTTTTAGATTTGAAGCTTTCGTGACTGCAAGGATTCATATTCTTAGGTTTTTTCGGTAAAGTCACGTAGGTAAAAATTTCTTTTATTTAACTTTTATTAATTTAAATGTTTTACCTACGTGACTTTACCGAAAAAACCTAAGAATATATACGTGTTTATTTATGTTCGTGTGTGTGGAGGGACAGCTATGTGAAGGAGGCGTGTTACACGCTACCCCGAGTCTTGTTGACGGAGCGTTAGATGTGTAACCCATTGGAGAGTCACGAATCCGGTCACGAATCAATTCGTGAATCGATGACAGAGAGTCTTCTCGTGCTCGCTCCTTCCCGTCGCCCCAAAGATGACTTCAATCCAGTTAGTGACGCTGCTGCTGCTGCTGGGTTGACAGTGGTGCACAAGCACAGTCAATAAAACAAACCCAAAACTCTCCGTGCCAATAACAACACCAGTGGCCTTCATAGGAAATATATAATAAGTGACGTTTCAGGGCTATGGTCCTTCTTCGTGAGATATAGACAAATCACGGGTAAAAATCACGTGGAAACAATACACGATTTGTTTTGTGCTATAAAGAAGGGCCTTTGCCCGAAACGTCGCCTATTATTTTTCCTTTTAAAAGCACACGCACGATGTTATTGACCAGTGTGTTCAATCGACTTCGATTCGCAGACACGGCGAACATCACTGGCGAGTGATTTGTGAACCGGACTTTGGCCTACCCCTAGGTCGACTCAGCCTTGAATGAGTACCTGGTGCGGGGGTGTGCAACCATGGATACACGACCACCTCGTGCGCCGTTGCAGCTTTAATAGGTTCTCGCTAACAGCACTGGCCCCCATAGTCTAAACTAAGCTACACGGAGGAATCTATGTGCACGGGAATGCGTTGGCACAGTGTGGAGCACAGGTGGTGCATCTGCCAGTCATCTCAGTCAGTCAACCCAAAACACCTGGGTCTGCTCCGTGACTTCCTGCCAGCGAGAGCCTTCAAGCCTCGAAGTGCACCTAGCCTGGCACAAGCAGCCGTGGTGACGTCGCCACAACTTAGCGGCGAACTGCGTCTGTTATACGTGTGCGTACGTGTGCGTCCGTGTGCATATGTATGTACACGTGTGCGTGCGTCAGTGTCAGCGATCCTTCCACGTGGGATCCCCTCCAGCCACCCACCCACCACTTCGCGATGGCGCAACGTCTGCATCGCTTCGCGGGGGGGGGCGGGGGTGGAACCCTGCAGTGAAGGGGGGGGGGCATCTTGGGACGGGGGGGGGGTAGAGAGAACACGTGCAGGGGCGCACCCGACGGTCTGTGTAAGGAGCGCAGCAATGTATGGGATGTAGACCAGCGCAGCCATGCAAGTGCAAGAGAGGTTGAGGTGGGGGGGGGCACGGTGCAGGGCGCGCGAGGTAGGATTCAGGGCGCATCGTGCCGTGGTGGGGCAGTGCGCGTGGCGATCGCAGGGTGCAGCAGCAGGAAGGCTGCAGGATGCAGCAGGAGGGTGCAGCGGAATCGTGCAGCAGCAGCAGCAGGATGCAGCAGGAGGGTGCATTGTGCAGCATGAGCGTGCAACAGGAGGGTGCAGCAAGAGACTGCGCAGAAGCCGGAGTGTGCATCGTGCAGCAGGAGTAGTGGAGAAGAGGGTGCATTGCCCAGTAGGAATGTGTAAGGGGGTGCATCAGGAGGGCGCAGGAAAGTGCAGCAGGAGCGTGCAGCAGCAGGGTGCAGGGTGCAGGGTGTCCCCACGAGCTTTGCTCTCCGCCCGTTCGCCCCAAATTCCGCTTTTGGCGAGAGGCAGGTTCCGTTTCCTGCGCGTCCCGCACGTGGTCGGGCATCTGGCCAGCTCGCCCGGGGGGGGGGGGTGAGCTGGGGGGAGGCGGGTGGGAGGGCGGTGAGCTTGGGTGGGGGGCACGGGGTGAGGTGGGGGGTGTGGGTGGGGGGCTCTCAGACAAACGCTAAAAAACAATAGCTTCAGCCCGCCGGCGGCGTTTGTTTGGGGTCGGGCGAAAACAACCTAAAGGTGGGACGCACCCATGCCGCTCTCTCCGCCCCCCGCTACCATCCATCCTGACCCTCCCTTCACTCTCTCCTCCCTACCGCCTTTGTCTTCACCCCCCCCCCACCCACACGCATTGTTGTGTGATTCCGCTCCCGACCACTCACGCCCTCCCCCCACGCACACAAAACATTTCCCGAGTGAAATTCGCGAAGTCACTTTAGTTCTGGAGGGATGGGTTCGGCTTCGCACCCCGTTACGCGTGCAGGGGTTAGGGTGTAGGGGTACGAGTTAGGGTTTAGGGTATGGATAGGGCGAGTGGGTCTAGGGTATGGCTGGATAGTGTTCGGTGAGGAGTAGAGAGAGGGAGGCATGGGGTAAGGTTTGGGTTATGGATAGATGTACAAATATACCAGGTAAGGGCGAATGGCTACGGTTAAGTTTAGTGGTTACGGTCAGTGGTTATTAACACAGTTAGGTTTAGAGTTCGGGGTCGGAGTCAGTACTTGAGTTGGGTTAAGGATATGAATAAAGTTAGGGGTGAGAGTTGAGTGCGAGGTAAGGATATGAATATAGTTAGGGGTTAGGGTTCAGAGTTCGGGGTTAGGGTAGAGTTAGGGGTAAGGTTAAGGGTAGGGTTAGGTAGGGGTGAGAGTAGAGTTCGAGGTAAGGGTAGAGTTAGGCTAAGGTTAAGGGTAGAGTTAGGAGTAAGGTTCAGGGTAGAGTTAGGGTAAGGTTAAGGGTAGAGTAAGGGTTTGGGTTAAGGGTAGAGTTAGGGTTCAGAGTAGGGTTAGGGTAGAGTTAGGGGTTGGGTTAAGGGTAGAGTTAGGGGTAAGGTTAAGGATAGAGTTAGGGGTTGGGTTAAGGGTAGAGTTAGCCGTTGGGTTAAGGGTAGAGTTAGGGGTTGGGTTAAGGGTAGAGTTAGGGGAGGTTAAGGTTTAGGGTTGGAGTTAGGGTAGAGTTAGGGGTTGGGTTAAGGGTAGAGTTAGGGGTAAGGTTAAGGATAGAGTTAGGGGTTGGGTTAAGGGTAGAGTTAGGGGTTGGGTTAAGGGTAGAGTTAGGGGTTGGGTTAAGGGTAGAGTTAGGGGTAAGGTTAAGGGTAGAGTTAGGGGTTGGGTTAAGGGTAGAGTTAGGGGTTGGGTTAAGGGTAGAGTTATGGTTCAGAGTAGGGTTAGGGTAGAGTTAGCAGGAGGATCTCGGTGTAGGGTTTAAGAAGGGGTCCAATCTCTTCCCTGCCTCCCCCCCCTCCCCCCTTCCCCCCCCTCCCCCCCTCCGCTTACCCAACTCGTGCCCCGGGGGGCACCGGAAGCGCGGCGGTGGGGGGGGGGGGGTCGGGGGAGGGGGGGGAGGGAGTTGGTGGCTCCCGCCGCACGCGGCTGGAACCACGACCCCGGCCGGTGTAGGGGGGGGGGGGATTGGGGGAGGGGCGACGGGCGCGTGGGGGGGGGGGTAGCCGACTCCGATGCATCCAGACACGCGTCTGTGCGTGTGTAAATGTGCGCTACAAAATGCACCTAGCCTGGCACCAACGCCGCGGTGACGTCACCATCATTTGGTATGGAACAAAAAACACTCCAATTGTATGGGCGCCAGTTATCCGCAGGACTTCCGACCAGCGTGGTTGTAATTTTATCGACCACGGAAGATGATGGGCTAGGTCGCAAACACCGATTTGCATGTGAACTCGTGACTTTCCGATTCTGTGGAGCGGTGGTTGAGTGTGGAGAGCGGCGGCTCAGTGGTTAAGCGCACTGCACCACGAACTCAGCTTACCTGAGATTCAGTCCCATTTGAAGCGGTCCTAGGACTTCCCTAAGTAAACACCAGCACCGGGGAGACAAAGGCCGCCGGGCGTGGTTCCGGCCACACCAACAACTTGACCCAACATCCTGCTCGCGGCTATACGGGGGATATTTGTCTTTGTCAGTGTGTGTGTGTTTCAATGTGGATATCTTGACGCATGGGAATCGACTTTGCTGTGCCAACGGATTATTTCGCAATTTACATTCACGTGGCTCGGAGCTCTTTGTAAACAGATAAGTGTGTTGGTGTCTGTGTGGGATGGGCAGCGGCACTGTAGTAGTTAGCGCACTGCGCTACGAACCCAACTGCACGAGTTCGATTCCCGCTCACGACCAACATCGGTGGCGATTATCTGAACCCATCCTGGACCTCAAATGAGGGTGCGATGTGTAAACATCGGCCGAACGTGGTACTGGCCGTGCT